ACGAGAACAGTTTTCTAAAGCCATGTTGAGCAGGAGAAAAGAATGTATGGGAATAAAGAAAATTAACGAGATGCGAAAAGATTATGTGCTCTAAAATTTTGCAAGGGAAATTTGTTAAGGAAACCAGGCGATAATTACTTGGGCTGGATTTGTCACTACCTTTATGTATAGGAATCACCTTCCCCACCCTCCAGTCCTCGGGAAGGCTTCCGAGTTCGAGTGATTGCCGAAATAGCTTTGTTAAGATAATAGAGGAATGCATAATAGTGTTTTTTTGAAGCTTCGAGTTAATAGTATCAATTCCACACGATGACGATAGTTTAAGGTTGGCGATGACGTTCACTATACCGGCACATTCTATATCAATGGAATTCATAGCACAAATATTGTATTCATAAACATCCGGATAAGAATTAGTGGTTAAATTCGAAAATGAGTTTGTGAATAATTCGTTTAGCACAGCTGCACACTCATTCGCCGCGGCCTCGACAGCTGAGGCCGAGTGTCGCCACCGGCGGCCATTGATTGACACCACCAAATGCATGGGACTCAATGAAAAAAAAAAAAAAAAGAGAGAAAAAGCGCCGTTTTCCCCGTTTCTAAGCTGTTGTTGGCACTGCAACTTCTAGCTGTTTTTCGGGAAGCCCGTTAAATAGTTTGCGAACAACCATTAAAACTGACAGCGTTCGCGGTTCTTATAGATAAATTCTTTGTGGTCCAGAGTGACTCCGCTGGCAAAAAATGTAGTGCAGCACGAAGAGTCGAAAGTTACCTAGAGGTACCGCAGACTCTCTGGCGGTTTCGTTGAATTGGGTTTAGCAGACGACAAGCTCGAAGGCATTGCTACGTGGAATTCGTTAACTCCCGGAAAGCCGCTGTCGAGATGAAACTTCTTTGTAATTCATTAACTTCTGGGCTTCCCCAAGGATGGTCGGATTGACGGTCGCACTGACGAGTTACTTTGTTTACTCCACAACGAGAGCAAGCTTCCCAGCTCAGCCATAGGTGCTCCGGTACATTTTAATTTTTTTTTTAAATCGGCGTTCGTCCGGTTATTAAATGCCGATTAGATCTCCAAACACCCGACATTGCAGCACACCATAAAACACTCGTTCCCAGCACAGCGTACATGCTTCAATATTCTTACTTTCGTACGTTTCTCCCACAGACGCGTGTATTGTCTGGTGTCAAGCAATGGCCGCCGGTGGCTACACCGATGGGCTCCCGATCTGCGATCCAGCCTACTACAATAGAGATCAGTAACAGTAACCAAAGGGGATCGTAGCGTACGAGAGCACGACACACAAAAACTATCGAAGGCCGCATGAGCCTCTTCTAACCGCACGGCTTTGACGAACCCGGCATATCTTGTATATGGGCCGCCAGGAGGGGAAATTATTTATAAACTAAATTAATTAAAACTTGTGTGAAGCGGCAGAGTCTACTGTAATAAAGACGGTGATATTATGAAGTTTTACGAATGAATTAATGTTTCCTCAAGGTTTGAAGACTCAATTCGAGCAGATAAACTGAAAGTTACCTTGAACGACATTTTTATTGACCATGCATCCATGCATGCATGCAAATGACATACAACGTCTTTGAGTTCGTTTGAGATCGCAGGAAATTGTCGAACTTGTCAGATGCCGCACGAGACGGAACCCGTTGATGCGCTACACACGAACTCATCTCTGTTACGCCACGGCGTGCTGGTGGCGCGTCGGGCGCCCTTTCGGTCTGGGGCTGTGAGCAGAAGTCGCCATGGGGGACGTGTATTCCTTTGTTACTTTGGAAGAAACCGTACAAAAACCTGCCTTCTCGTCAAAACGCCCTGACTGGGACTGTACCAAGTCGAGAAAGGTTTAAAAGTTAGTTTTCATTGCGTTTTCTGCATGCGTGGTTCGTTCGAAAACGTGAACAGGGGCCGTGAAAAAGGAAAAACAGACGCCGTCGGACCATGATTGCGTGGGCGAGAAGCACTTTGGAATGAATGCACGGACATTTGTGGTCGTCATATTTATTTGCTTTTTACCAACATGAACGCAGGAAAACCGTCAAGTTGCACGGACCACCTGCGGACTACGTTCAGTGCTTGATCAAGTACAAACGGCCGCCTCATCGTTCGAGCTGTCGTCTGCTCGTCCAAACGACAGCGTGCCGTAGACCAAACATTGACCCGGTAATTGCGATAAGAAGTGCAAACCCCAAAAGACGTTTCAGTTTGAAGGTTGCTTTGGGTAAGTAGGCTCGGTGTGAACAGTAGATATAAGGAGATGTTGTTACTTGGTTACCAGTGGCCATCACCATCTTGTTATGCATGATTCACTCGGTCCGATTCTGCTTCCGGATTTCAGTATCATCGTCGACATCTCAGCTACGGTTCAGTCATTTGGAGCCCGAGCGACATCATGACTGAAAATAGCGAGCAGAATCTCATGATGTGAATCAGGCTTTAGCGTCCATTCCGCGGCGTCCACGGGGAATGAATCGCCGCATGTTGCATTATTCACGCCAAGTTCTGCGGTGTAACGAGCCTCGTGAGTTTCGCTGAGTCCACTTAAATAGTCAGATATTGCCAGGAAGACGTAGAATCAACAATTCCAACGCGAAAAGGAGCACGGGGACTCCCACAGACGCCGACAACGTCCCATTTTGATGGTTTATTTATGGGCGACGTCGAGCTTCTTGCCCATACTCCCATCCCGCACGCGTGGCGTCGGTGGTGTCCGCTAGGGGGCCTCCGGTTTGTTTGTATATGTATACGTGGCTTGCACATGACGTCGTTTCCGATGCCCTCCAGAGAAGAGGAAAAGAGGGAGCTCCCCTCTCATCAGGATCCTCGTTTGTGCCTCCCGGATTGGCACAGGCGTGGCTATTCTCCCCCCATAAGATTATAGAAGATTAACCTGTCACTCGAAATTCTTACAAAAGCAGCTTCCCTCTCCTCATTTATCATGGTGGTCAAAAGTATGCGATGTGACGTCAGTGCAAGGAGCCTATATGTGAGACGGAGGGGGCTACGCAGGGCCATCGATTCAACAACAAAAATTCGGCAGTCCTTCAATTAGCCGGGTCCGAAGAGCCTAAATTAAACAGCCTAAAGCTGAACGGCTTGCAAGCACAGGTACAGGAGTCGTACATTTACCTGGGAGTTGTACCGACCAACAAGCGGGAGTACTTGTCCGAGCATTATGCTCAACTCCGAGAGGCAGCCGTGCGAGGTACGAATGTACTCTGATCACGTAATCTTTGGAGTTGCAATTGTTTTCTGGTGACTCGCGAACTCTGGAATGCGGTTCTGGTGCCTGGATTAACCTTCCCCAACGCGGTTCTTTGTGTCCCTGGCACAGTGCGGGAAGTGATAGAACATCGTCAACGAGAGGTCGGGAGGCAGGCTCTGGGCAGTTACGGAATGTTGGCCACCGAAGCAGTCCAAGGAGATCGTGGGCGGTCGTCGCACAGGAAGCGTGAACTGGAGATACAAAACAGGATGAGACAGGAGGAGGCAGCTCGGTGGACAGAAACGGCAAAGTCCAAGTCCATTCACGTACTATCGATATATGCATAAAATTTCGGCAGAGACTAGACTATACGACCACAACCTTGGCAGCCCGCTCCTTTTTGAGTTGCGCGCAGGAGGGCTGCGAACACAGGCGTATCACCGCTGCGTCGACCAGACGGTGTAATCTCTATTATGCCGAGTCTGAGGTCTGGCGGATATGACAACCGCTATGGAAGTCCTTCCAACGAAAGAACAATAAGTCGGGGAGCAGATAAATTTGTTGAATGACGCTGTGTTCTGCGTATTTTCATTCGCTTGAATCAGGATGTCGATCGCCCTATTTTAACGCACCGGAATTTTAAAATGAGCTATTGTTGCTTAAGGGCCAATTGTGATAATTTAAACCTAGCGTTTCCTGGGAAACATCGGACTTATTCATCCCTAAAGACATCAATAGATGTTACCATAATGTCCCACATTGAAATTTGACAGCATACTTAAGGCCAGAATTTGTATATTTCTTTTCGAGCTTCCCAAAACAGTACTCTTCAATGAAGTCACCAACAATTCGCATAAAATAAATACATCTTAGAGTTCAATTATATTATTAATTTATTATTTCTTAGAAGTGCTTTGCAAGACCGTAGGCGAGAGGAGCTTGGTGGGCGTAGGTGAAGGGAGCGGCAGCGTGCACCACTGGGGCGGCCTGCACTACGCGCCCGGCAACTGGAGCAGCGTGAACGGCGTGCACGGCCACTGGAGCAGCCTTGACAACGACCGGGTGTGGACCCTCGACGGCGGTGGAGATGAATGGAGCGTCGGCTGGGGCCGAGGTCTTGGTGCCTGGCTCGTTGGTCTCGACGGTGGGGTGGAAGCCGGTGGCGTCAGCCACGTACTTCACCACACGACTGACTCCGAGGGCATCGACGTAGCTGTAGGAGCCGACCTTGTTGTTGAACTCGTCTCCGGTCTCCTGACGGGTCATGCGTGTGCCGAACTCGTCGACGTTGTCGAAGCCGAAACTGTATGGCTGGGGAAGGTGCTGCAATAAAAAAAAATATATATATACACTTGCATCAGCAGAGTTATGCAGAAAAGAAAAGCCTGTTTATCTATTCGAGACAGTATATTTTCCTTGCATTTGACTTTATCAAAATGCGTAAATGTTTATTTGAAGCAAGGGTTAGCAGTTCAAACTCGTCGGCTGTTTTTCCCTCTCCATCTCCAGTGGAACAAAACAATAAAATTGAAGATGAATTGGAAGTAACTAAGGTCATAAAGATCTGGGATGGTTCAAATTTTTTTTGTTATGTAACCGTGCGTGACAGCTTAAAGTGAATATGCGTACATTGTGAAAAATACTAATACGGTACTTCCGGTGTTACAATTTAAGAGACGGTGTTGACACCTGATTACCTAGACATGATATCTAGTGTTCTTAGGTATTTCTTAAAATCTTAGGTCTTTCAAGATTTCTACAATTTCTCACTTTACTGACCTGCTCCACAACAACTCCGCAAGCCACGTAGGCGAAGAGGCAGCACACAAGGACCTGGAAGCAAACAGTACGTTGTTATTCCAGTTAAAGCGACGACAAATCGGTTTCTAAATATCTTAATATCCAAGTCACCTACCTTGATGAACATGATGATTACTTTTCCTCTTGCTTGAGAGTGGAAACGATGGTGCAGTACAGGACAGTAAAGCCTTATATACTCGGTACAAAAATAACTTAACTATAGACACGCCCTGTAAAGCCATCCAGTCAATAGCGTAAGTGAATCGACGAAGAAAAAAGAAGTAGATTGCTGCTTTGATTAAATTACAGCGTGGTGAACTCGGAAAGACGGGAGAGAAAAGGAATCCGGTTAGAAAGGGGCTTATTTTTAATTTTTTTTTGTAGCTGTTCATGTTAATGTACGATTTGAAATGCCACTACGAAGTGGGATGCTTTTGCGCGTGAGAAAGTGACATGCTAAAATCAAAAGAATGCTTGCATTTTCAATATCATGTTTGTTAAAGTCTATATTGTTCAGCTAGGACAGGAAAGCCACGTTTAGGGTCAGAAAAATTCCCTACATTCAATCCAAACGAAAATGTCCCATGCTTACATTCATGCTAACATTCAGCGCATCACAATTTTAGCTTCTGCGAAGATATTCATACATATATTATAGTCCGGATTTGATTTAGTTTTTTGTTCATTTCTTAAAAGGTGCGAAGATTGCGATTATTAAGAAGCCTAATATGCATTGTATTATGGTATTTGATTACCTTAATCAAGTTTTGAAGAATTAAAACAGATGTCTATAATGTGCGATATATGGTAATTTAAAGTACATAACCTAACTTTTATTTCATTAAGTAATACCTTAAACCTCTTACAAATGAAAACAACGACTTAACACGTATTCCTTTAGACAGTACTTAATATTTCTCGCATATAACAAACAAGGCATTAGCCTGATTTCTAGCTACTGAGTTGTGACACATTTTAATGTACAGCCTTCAGATGTTTTAACAATAATGCTTGAACCCCGTCCGGCCGGTTGGTCTGCGTCTATTTTGTTTTCAAGCAGCAAGTCACCGAGGCTAGGTGTGTGCCTTCTGCCACACAGGTGTACCCTTGCTGAGCTGCTCCTTAACGCCGACATAAGGCGCAGATCTGGCGGCCTGTCGAAGTTCGTGTGGCATTGCTAAAATCTGAAGACTGTACATGCGTTCTACTTTATTGGCATTCTTAAAAAGAATTTGGGATTATATTAAATTATCTCCCTATTCTTTTAAATGATCGGAATCACAACCGATCATAGAGGTTGCAACGATTGGTTAATAGCACGTTTATTGAAAAACCAAAAAAGTATGTGTTGAAAAACCTCCTTTGCCCACAAGGCCAGGAAGTTTCCCGAAAAACCTAAAGAAAAAACATTTGTTTATGGATGTATTTTGGTCGCTTATAATATAGATAGCACGATATGCACTGGCGATATATGCAATCTTGTGACATATATTTCGCGCGTGTATTTGTCTTTATATCTTCCAGTAATTTACTCAATCGATTCCAAAATTAAACGGTAAAAGGGCATGTTTATTTACACTGCAGAGTTTGTTTGTGTTCGCCGCATTTTCAGGGCACGAGAATTATTGAATTTTATTATTGACCCAACAGATCATTACATTCTTCAAAACGATCTCGACACCATAAGCTCCTGGTGCACCCATTGGCAGATGAATATTAACCCCGGAAAATGCAAACAAATGTCCGTTACCACCAACTCGACCAAATCATCTCGCGAATATTCATTACTGGCACACCAATTAGAAAGTGTTCCATTATACAAATACTTGGGTGTCCATATTTCTGAAATATTAGCGTGGAATTAACATATCGACAACATAATCACCAGCTCAACGAGATCTATAGCTTTTTGAGGCAGAATCTCTATCTGGCCCCTGCTGCGACAAAATTACTCGCCTATAAAACAATAATTCAACGCAAACTTGAATACGCAAGCGTTGTGTCAAATCCACATCGAAATCATCAAATATCAAACCAATAATCAATTTTAAAAAAACCTACCCGGTTCATCCAAAACGGTTATTCTTCATAAAGTAGTGTCTCCCCTAAAATCAAGACTTGGTCTTGCTTTCTCACCACACGACACGAACTTAACCGCATGTGTTTCTTCCATCAAGTTTACCATAGTAATTGACAGTTCAGAAACATTTATTGTCAAAAAGTCCATTATATTTCTTCTCGAAACGACAACACATGTAAACTCCTTCAATGGCGCTCCCATAATAACTCATTCATGTTTTCTCCCTTAATATTGCGTATTACAGAATGGAATAACTTGCCAGATCGTTTTGTAACCAACTTAGATATTACATCGTTTCAAGAGATGTGAGGGCTTTTGTTCAATGAGTAGGGAATGTCTCTTTGTGTATATATATCTTGTTTTCTTTTGTAGTTAGACGAAATGTGGCTGTGTTGGTGTCCTTACGTTCTTTTTTATATTGTATTCATATTTGATGCCACCCCCCTCCCCCCCCCCCCCCTTGTGTAATGCGTCCTCAAAAGACGCCCTTGAGGTAAATAAATGAAATGAAATGATATATAAAGACAAAGACAATCGCAACATTCTAGAAACATGTATAATATACTGATTTTATTATTTATTTATTTAGTTCTTATTTTCAACAAACTTTCAACGAAGCTCCAAGTCGATATAATAAATACATAATATTTCGGGACAATGAAAGCCTTTTTTATATTTTCCAATTTTTAGAACATCCTATAATATTTCTTGCTATTTGGCGGATTAAGTCCGCACCCCTTTACTCCTACTGCGAAGCTCCAAGTTTCAGCTTACGAGCGCAGCAACTAAACGAATCGCAGCGCACATGTTTGCGACACACCGAAACTATCGACGAGCTGCATGAGCCACTTCCGACCGCACGGCTTTGACGAACCCAACATCTCATGGATACGGGTGGCAGAAGGCAAAATTATTTTTAAGCTAAATTAATTAGGGCTGAGTGGAGCGGCAGAGTGTAAAGTAAAAGAGACGGTGATGTTACGAAGTTTTCGAATGTATCAATATTTCTGAAAGGCTTGAGGACTCCGCGCACATATGCGGAATATTACTTTTACCAATCTTTTTAATCACCATGCATTCTGTTCAAATTTAAATTAAAGACAACATTTTGTTAGCTCTTTCGCCGTCACAGGAAACTGTCGAACTTGCCAGATGCCGTACGAGACGGACCCGTCATTGCGCTATATACCGGCACACCATCGTTTAATAGACAGCACGTCAATTCCCTTTTAGGCAAGATGCATGAAAAACCCTGTTCCGCAACGCTAACTGATGTTTCGACTTTCAAGTTAAGTTTCTTTATTTGCTGGGCTAATCATTCTAGAAGGGGCTGCGGTTCGACAGTATCCTGATCTGAACACCATGATCCTTGTTGTTGTATGGGCACGCTACCAATCTATACATGAATTCGTTTTCAGGCGAGATGCACGAATAAACTCTCCCGGAACGCTACTTCCTTTTGGCTTTCTAATCAAACTGTGTTTACCTGATTAAACACTATCCAACTGAAAATGGGCAGCGGTCCTACTGTTCCTTTTATTTCGGTATCAAATAATATTGCTTTCTTTTCGGTAATAGTGAACGAAATGAATTCGATCCTAAACGGTTTAAGGGTTTGGGTTACGGTTTTAGCCTCTGTACTTGACTGCCGCGTAGCAGAGAGAGCGAGAAACAAGTTTACCGACAGTTTATGAACATGATGTTGATGTCACCGCCGACTCATTTTAATATGACAACGCCTATAGAAGTCCTCCCAACGAAAGCACAATAAGTCGGGGACCAGATAAATTTGATGAATGACGCTGTGTTATGCGTATTTTCATTCGCTTGAAGCAGGATGTCGATCGCCCTATTTTAACGCACCGGAACATTAAAATTAGCTATTGTTGCGTAAGCGCCAATTGTGATAATTTAAACCAAGTGTTTCCTGGAAAACATCGGACTTATTCACCACTAAAGACTACGATAGAAGTGACCGTAATGTCCCACATTGAAATTTTACAGTATACTTAAGGGCAGAATTTGTATATTTCTTATCGAGCTTCCAAAACAGTGCTCTTCAAAGAAATCACCCACAACTCGCATAAAAGAAATACATCTTAGAGTTCAATTATATTATTAATTTATTATTTCTTATAAGTGCTTTGCAAGTCCGTAGGCGAGGGGCGCTTGGTGGGCGTAGGCGAAAGGAGTGGCAGCGTGCACCACTGGGGTGGCGTGCACTGCGCGCACGGCAACTGGAGCAGCGTGAACGGCGTGCACGGCCACTGGAGCAGCCTTGACAACGACCGGGTGCGGACCCTCGACGGCGGTGGAGAAGAATGGAGCGTCGGCTGGGGCCGAGGTCTTGGTTCCTGGCTCGTTGGTCTCCACGGTGGGATGGAAGCCGGTGGCGTCAGCCACGTACTTCACCACACGACTGACTCCGAGGGCATCGACATAGCTGTAGGAGCCGACCTTGTTGTTGAACTCGTCTCCGGTCTCCTGACGGGTCATGCGTGTGCCGAACTCGTCGACGTTGTCGAAGCCGAAACTGTATGGCTGGGGAAAGTGCTGCAATAAAAAGGAAATAATATACACTTGCATCAGCAGAGTTACGCAGAAAACAAAAGCCTGTTTATCTATACCAGACAATAGATTTTCCCTCAATTTGACTTTATCTAAATGCGTAAATATTTCGCTGAAGCAAGGGTTTGCAGTTCAAACTCGTCGGCTGTTTTTCCCTCTCCATCTCCAGTGGAACAAAACAATAAAGTTAAAGATGAATTGGAAGTAACTAAGGTCATAAATATCTGGGATGGTTCAAGAATTGTTTTGTTATGTAACCGTGCGTGACAGTTGAAAATGAATATGCATATATTCGGAAAAATATTAATACGGTACTTCCGGTGTTACAATATAAAAGACAGTGTTGGCACCTCATTACCTAGGCAGGAGATAGTGTGTTGTGAGGTATTTCTTAAAATCTTAGGTCTTTCTAGATTGCCACAATTTCTCACTTTACTGACCTGCTCCACAACAACTCCGCAGGCCACGTAGGCGAAGAGGCAGCACACAAGGACCTGGAAGCAAACATAACGTTGTTATTCCAGTTAAAGCGAAGACAAATCGGTTTCTGAAAATCTTAACATCCAAGTCCCCTACCTTGGTGAACATGATGATTACTTTTCCTCTTGCTTGAGAGTGGAAACGATGGTGCAGTACAGGACAGTAAAGCCTTATATACCCGGTACAAAAATAACTTAACTATAGACACGCCCTGTAAAGCCATCCAGTCAATAGCGTAAGTGAATCGACGAAGAAAAAATAAGCAGACTGCTGCGTTGATTATATTACAGCGTGTTGAACTCGGAAAGACGGTAGAGAAAAGGAATGCGGTTAGAGAGGGCTAATTTTTAATTTTTCTTTGTAGCTGTTCGTGTCAATGTACGATTTGAAATGCCGTTATGAAGTAGGATGCGTTTGCGCGTGAGAAAAAGACATGCTAAAATCAAAAGAAAGCTTGCATTTTCAATAGTATGTTTGTCAGTCTATATTGTTCAGCTAGGACAGTAAAACCACGTTTAAAGTCGGAAAAATTCCCTACATTCAATCCAAATGAAAATGTCCCATGCTTACATTCATGCTAACATTCATCGAATCACAATATTAGCTTCTGCAAAAATATTGATACATATAATATAGTCCGGATTTTATTTAGTGTTTTGTTCATTTCTTAAAAGGTGCGAAGAATACAATTACTAAGAAAGCGTAATATGCATTGTATTATGGTATTCGATTACCTTAATCAAGTTTTGAAGAATTAAAACAGAAGTCAATGGTTTACGACATCTGGTAATTTAAAATACTTAACGTAGCGACGTTTAGGGTCGGAAAAATTACCTACATTCAATACAAACAAAACGTTTTCAAGGTTGCAATCATGCTAACATTCAGCGCATCACAATTTCAGCTTCTGCGAAGATATTCGTATATAAATATAGTCCGGCTTTTAATTAGTTTTTTAATACATTTCTTAAAAGGTGTAAATAATGCGATTACTAAGAAAGCGTAACGTGCATTGCATTATGGTATTTGATTACCTTAATCAAATTTCGAAGAATTAAAAATGAAGTCGATAGTGTACGATATCTGGTTAATAATTTAAAATACTTAACCTCATTTTTATTTCATTAAGTAATACCTTATACCTCTTTTAAATGAAAACAACGACTTAACACTTATTCCTTCAGACAGTATTTAATATCTCTCGGATATAACAAACAATGCATTAGCCTGATTTCTAACTAGAGAGTTGTGACACATTTTAATGTAGAGCCTTCAGATGTTTTAACAATATTGCTTGAACTCCGGCCGGCCGGTTGGTCAGCGCCTTATCTTGGCGTCAAGCGTTAACAAACTGGTATCTGAACAAGCTAATTCTATGAAATATTTAGCCCAACAAGTTAAGGACTTGAAGTACAAGGGCGTATACTTGGAAAATAGAAGTCGCCGACAAAATTTTGTTTTCTATGGTGTAGAGGACAACAATTCGGAAACGTGGGATGAATCCGAAAAAATAATCGAGCGCATTTGTAAAACCAGCCTGGGTATCGAATTGACATCGGTACAAAGGGCGCATCGAATTGGTCGTTACAGTCACGAGAAAAAAAAGGCCGATTATTGTAAATTTTGCGTCTTACAAAGAAAAGCAGGACATTATGTCGAACGCCAAAAAGGTTAAGGGTACAACCTACAGCGTAGACCAGGACTACTCACCCGAAACTCGAGACATCCGCAGGCTACTATGGGTATTTGCAAAAATTAAAAAGGCAGATAGAGAAAGTCAGGTAGCATTAAACTTTGACAAACTAATTGTTAAAGGTAAGGTGTTTACTTCGGACAAAGAAAAAGGGGAAGTTGTTCGTGTCCCGAAACATTGACGCCCCACTAAAAAAAAGGAAACAGTTCGTTGTGATTTAGTTGCTATTCATGTAAATTGCAGAAGTGTAGTAAATAAAGTCAATGAATTTGCTGGATTAATCGCGTCCGTCAAGGATGATATTGTGTTTGGGACTGAATCTTGGCTGAATCCCTCTATCAGCGATAGTGAAGTATTTCCGAAGGAATTTATTGCTTATCGGAAGGATAGGCCCCGCCTCGGTGGAGGGGTCTTTTTGCTAATTCATTCTTGACTAACGTCATCTGTACTCGATCTTGGTCCCGACGCCGTCGAGTCAATCTGGTGCACAGTCACTTTAACTGATCATTCTTCATGTGTTGTTGGGGCGTTTTACCGACCACCAAACTGGGATTTTGGCACCTTGCAGCTACTGTACGATATTGTCTCCGAGACCTCTGGCCAAACTATTTTGCTAGCGGAAAAGTTTAACTTGCGAGACCTAGACTGGCAAGACGGCACTTGTGCGAACAAAAACAATTACGACTGTAATTGTTTTTCACCCGTGAGCACTGTCCCAATAATGCAGCCAGTGGAACTAAGCGTGAGTGGTATCGAAGTGCTACTAAAGAGTATCGACGAAACTAAGGTTAATGGCCCAGATGGCATATCTCCTCGTGTGCTTAAGCGCTGTGCTCATCAGATTTCACTCTATCTTTATTTAATTTATGCGAAGTCACTATCTGTGGGTCTCTTGCCAAACGACTGGAAGACCGCTCACATAGTCCCTATTCACAAATGTGGTTCTAGGAAAGATGTCGAAAACTACAGGCCTATTTCATTAACCTCCATCTCATGCAAGGTCATAGAACATATTTTATACACTGAAATAATACATCATATGACAAAAACAATCTATTATCTAAACAACAGCACGGTTTCCGTAAAGGCTTATCTTGCACCACGCAACTTGACGAATTTTATCATGACTTGTCGTCTGATGTTGATGAGGGAGGCCAAACAGATTGTATATTCCTAGATTTTCGCAAGGCTTTCGATACTGTTTCGCATTTACTTCTGCTAAATAAACTTAAGATGTTAAATATAGACTTAAAGGGGCGGTGCAACGATTTTAACACTGAACGAATGTGCAGCTTGTATTTTTCATATTGTTTACTTCGGCATAAGTAAGAGAAAAAGTGCCACCATACCCCAAAATACCTCTATTTCGCTGCGTAATCGTAAAATGAAAAACGCTTCTTTCCCCAACCTGCGGCCACATGGTGGACGCAAATGGAACCTGTGGTGTGACGTCATTCGGAGTGGTTTTAGTAAGTGATAGTGTTAGACAAGCGTAAGCTTGATTTAAGGTTAAGTTCAAAAAATCTTGTTGTTTAGGCATGCAGAAACATTTCAAAAGCCTAATATTGCCACTAAAAGGGTATGAATTAATAATAATAATAATAATAATCTTTATTTTTTTTTCGGGCGCCATCTACTGCAAGTCAATAAAACCTGCCGTCGCCGTCATCCGTCGACGCCCGAGGCGCCTACGGCGGCTACTCGAGCAACCCGGACGTTTTGTCTTTCCCTCGCTCGACGGTGTGCGTTGGTCGTGGTTCGTGGTATCCTGGTATCGTTATTCTTCCTGGTGTCTCGACTTCGACTTCGACTGCCCGCCATGTCGCAAGCATCTTGCGCTCGACGTCGCTCAGGCCGTCCGCCCATGCTGCCATGTTGGTCGGGAATCGGCGGGAGAGCGGGAGAGCGGCGAGCCTGGCGAGCCGGCGAGCGCTGGGGAAACGGAAGCCAGAAGAGCCCAACCGGAAACCAACGCCACTCCGAATGACGTCACAGGCGAAGCTGGTGCCGCTTCAATGTTGAGTTGAGGGTGCCAGAGATACCAATTTCTTTTATTTTTTTAATGAAAACTAGGGCAAGCAGGAAAGAATAGTTTTCGTTCCTTCGTTTCATATGTGGCCGGGACCAATTCCCGCAATTAATTAGCCAAAGTCCGCAAATTGTTGCACCGCCCCTTTAACGGTATTAAGATGGATTGAAAATTATTTGCTAGAGCGTTGTCAGTGTGTGTTAGTGAATGGCAAAAGTTCGACATACGTTAATGTTACATCGGGAGTCCCACACGGCTCTGTCTTAGGGCCGCTTTTGTTCCTAATATATATCAATGATATTTCCTTGGGTATTTCATCTTGTGTTCGGTTGTTTGCCGATGATTGCGTGTTGTACAGAAAATTTAGTAACAAAGATGATGCCACCCAGTTACAAATAGATTTAGAATGCATTAGTACGTGGTGCTCTACTTGAAAAATGACTTTAAATCCCAAAAAGTGTGTGCATTTATATTTTACTAAAAAGAAGAAAATCGAAACCCAATATTATATAGATAACAATATAGTAATAATAATAATAATAATAATAATAATCTTTATTTGCTCAGGAGAGCCGCGACACCACAGAAAGGCAACAGCCCGTACCACGGAGGCCCGCGGTGCCGCGTCTAGTGAAGGAGATTATGTGATGATGTAATATACAAGATGAAAGTGCTGATGATTAGTAAACAAGGACTCCAAGTATAAATACTTAGGTGTCACGTTATCAACTGACTGTTCGTGGAATTCACATGTGGATGACGGGATTGTAAAGGCTGGCAGAGCGCTGAACTTTATTCAACGAAGCCTGAAATGTTCACACCCTAACTTAAAGGAAACCGCGTATTCAACATGTGTTAGGCCAATTTTGGAATATGCCTGTGCCGTCTGGGACACGGAAAAAAAAAAATTCATAGACAAACTTGAAAAAATACAAAATAGAGCTGCTAGGTTTGATCTGGGACGGTACGGGCGGAGAGACAGCTGTACTCAAATGAAGACTGAACTGAATTGGGAGCCTCTCTCAGCCCGCCGTAAACAATATTGTGTTTAAAGTTTCTGTTTTTGATATTTAAAAATAAAACTGGAATTAACAGTGCAACTTACTTAAAAGAACCATATTATATTTCTGAACGGAAGGATCATGCTTTCAAAATTAGAGAGTTCCGCGCCAGGACGAGGATGTGCGCCAACTCTTTTTTTGTTAAAACGATACGAGAGTGGAATGGGCTGTCGGAGCTGCAAGTGTGCAGTGAAAGTGAAGATGTGTTTTTTTTCACCATTGTAAACCCCCTGCTGTAACGCCCTCGGGCACTGCGGGGTAATCTCTGAATAAAGAATCAATAAAGAAACGCAAGTCATCGAGCAAGGTGTGTGCCTTCTGCCACACACGTGTACCCTTGCTGAGCTAGTCCTCAACGCCGGCATAATGAGCAGATCTGGCGGCCTGTCGAAGTTCGCGTGGCATTGCTAAAATCTGAAGGCTGTACATGTGTTGTACTTTACTGGCATTCTTAAAAATGATTTGGAATTATATTAAATTATCTCCCCATTATTTTAAATGATCGGAATCACAACCGATCATAGAGGTTGCAACGATTGGTTAATAGCACGTTCATTGAAAAACCAAAAAAGTATATGTTGAAAAACCTCCTTTGCCCGCAAGGCCAGGAAGTTGCCCCTAAAACCTCAAGAAAAAACGTTTGTTTATTGATGTATTTTGGTCATTTATAAGATAGATCGCACGATATACACTGGCGATATATGCAATCTTGTGACATACATTTCGCGGGTGTATTTGTCTTTATATCTTCCAGTAATTTACGCAATCGATCCCAAAATTTAACGGTAAAAGGGCATGTTTATTTACACTGCTGATATTGTTCGTGTTCGCCGCATTTTCAGGGCACGAGAATTATTGAATTTTATTATTGACCCAACAGATCATTACATCCTTCAAAACGATCTCGACACCATAAGCTCCTGGTGCACTCATTCGCAGATGAATATTAACCCCGGAAAATGCAAACAAATGTCCGTTACCACCAACTCGACCAAATCCTCTCGCGAATATTCATTACTGGCACAACAATTAGAAAGTGTTCCATTATACAAATACTTGGGTGTCCATATTTCTGAAACATTAGCGTGGAATGAACTTATCGACAACATAATCACCAGCTCAACGAGATTTATAGCTTTTTGAGGCAGAATCTCTATCTGGCCCCTGCTGCGACAAAATTACTCGCCTATAAAACAATAATTCGACGCAAACTTGAATACGCAAGCGTTGTGTCAAATCCACATCAAAATTATCTGATATCAAACCGATAATCAATTTAAAAAAAACCACCCGGTTCATCCTAAACGGTTATTCTCCATAAAGTAGTGTCTCCCCTAAAATAAAGACTTGGTCTTGCTTTCTTAGCCACACGACACAAACGTAACAGCATGTGTTTCCACCATCACGTTTACAACATTTATTGTCAAAATGCCCATTATATTTCTCCTCGAAACGACAACACATGTAAACTCCTTCAATGGCGCTCCCATAATAACTCATTCATGTTTTCTCCCTTAATATTGCGTATTACAGAATGGAATAACTTGCCAGATCACTTTGTAACCAACTTAGATATTACACCGTTTCAAGAAATGTGAGGGCTTTTGTTCAATGAGTAGGGAATGTCTCTTTGTGTATATATATATCTTGTTTTCTTCCGTAGTTAGACGAAAATTGGCTGTGTTGGTGTCCTTACGTTCTTTTTTATATTGTATTCACATTTAATGCCACCCCCCTCCTGTCATGCGTCCTTAAAAGACGCCCTTGAGGTAAATAAATGAAATGAAATGAAATATAAAGACAAAGACAATCGCAACATTCTAGAACCATGTATAATATATTAATTTTAGTATATATTTATTTAGTTATTGAATTCAACAAGCGGTCAACGAAGCACCAAGTTCATATAATAAAATACATAATATTTCGGGACAATGAAAGCCTTTTTTATATTTTCCAATTTTTAAAACATCCTATAATATTTCTTGCTATTTGGCGGATTAAGTCCGCACCCCTTTACTCCTACTGTGGAGCTCCAAGTTTCATCTTATGGGCGCAGCAACTAAACGAATCGCAGCGCACATGTTTGCGACACACCGAAACTATCGACGAGCTGCGTGAGCCACTTCCAACTGCACGGCTTTGACGAACCCAACATCTCATGGATACGGGTGGCAGAAGGCAAAATTATTTTTAAGCTAAATTAATTAGGGCTGAGTGGAGCGGCAGAGTGTAAAGTAAAAGAGACGGTGATGTTACGAAGTTTTCGAATGTATCAATATTTCTGAAAGGCTTGAGGACTCCGCGCACATATGCGGAATATTACTTTTACCAATCTTTTTAATCACCATGCATTCTGTTCAAATTTAAATTAAAGACAACATTTTGTTAGCTCTTTCGCCGTCACAGGAAACTGTCGAACTTGCCAGATGCCGTACGAGACGGACCCGTCATTGCGCTATATACCGGCACACCATCGTTTAATAGACAGCACGTCAATTCCCTTTTAGGCAAGATGCATGAAAAACCCTGTTCCGCAACGCTAACTGATGTTTCGACTTTCAAGTTAAGTTTCTTTATTTGCTGGGCTAATCATTCTAGAAGGGGCTGCGGTTCGACAGTATCCTGATCTGAACACCATGATCCTTGTTGTTGTATGGGCACGCTACCAATCTATACATGAATTCGTTTTCAGGCGAGATGCACGAATAAACTCTCCCGGAACGCTACTTCCTTTTGGCTTTCTAATCAAACTGTGTTTACCTGATTAAACACTATCCAACTGAAAATGGGCAGCGGTCCTACTGTTCCTTTTATTTCGGTATCAAATAATATTGCTTTCTTTTCGGTAATAGTGAACGAAATGAATTCGATCCTAAACGGTTTAAGGGTTTGGGTTACGGTTTTAGCCTCTGTACTTGACTGCCGCGTAGCAGAGAGAGCGAGAAACAAGTTTACCGACAATTTATGAAGATGGTGTTGATGTCACCGCCGAGTCATTTTAATATGACAACGTCTATAGAAGTCCTCCCAACGAAAGCACAATAAGTCCGGGAGCAGATAAATTAGTTGAATGACGCTGCGTTATGCGTAATTTCATTCGCTTGAAGCAGGATGTCGATCATCCTATTTTAACGCACCGGAATTTTAATATTAGCTATTGTTGCGTAAGCGCCAATTGTGCTAATTTAAACCAAGTGTTTCCTGGAAAACATCGGACTTATTCACCACTAAAGACATCGATAGAAGTTACCATAATGTCCCGCATTAAAATTTTACAGTATACTTAAGGGCAGAATTTGTATATTTCTTATCGAGCTTCCAAAACAGTACTCTTCAAAAAAATCACCCACAACTCGCATAAAAGAAATACATCTTAGAGTTCAATTATATTATTAATTTTTTTTATATCTTAGAAGTGCTTTGCAAGACCGTAGGCGAGAGGAGCTTGGTGGGCGTAGGCGAAGGGAGCGGCAGCGTGCACCACTGGGGCGGCGTGCACAGCGCGCACGGCAACTGGAGCAGCGTGAACGGCGTGCACGGCCACTGGAGCAGCCTTGACAACGACCGGGTGTGGACCCTCGACGGCGGTGGAGAAGAATGGAGCGTCGGCCGGAGCCGAGGTCTTGGTTCCTGGCTCGTTGGTCTCCACGGTGGGATGGAAGCCGGTGGCGTCAGCCACGTACTTCACCACACGACTGACTCCGAGGGCATCGACATAGCTGTAGGAGCCGACCTTGTTGTTGAACTCGTCTCCGGTCTCCTGACGGGTCATGCGTGTGCCGAACTCGTCGACGTTGTCGAAGCCGAAACTGTATGGCTGGGGAAGGTGCTGCAATAAAAAGAAAATAATATACACTTGCATCAGCAGAGTTACGCAGAAAACAAAAGCCTGTTTATCTATACCAGACAATAGATTTTCCCTCAATTTGACTTTATCTAAATGCGTAAATATTTCGCTGAAGCAAGGGTTTGCAGCTCAAACACGTCGGCTGTTTTTCCCTCTCCATCTCCAATGGAGCAAAACAATAAAGTTAAAGATGAATTGGAAGTAACTAAGGTCATAAAAATCTGGGATGGTTCAAATTTTTTTTGTTATGTAACCGTGCGTGACAGCTTAAAGTGAATATGTGTACATTGTGAAAAATACTAATACGGTACTTCCGGTGTTACAATTTAAGAGACGGTGTTGACACCTGATTACCTAGACATGATATCTAGTGTTCTTAGGTATTTCTTAAAATCTTAGGTCTTTCAAGATTTCTACAATTTCTCACTTTACTGACCTGCTCCACAACAACTCCGCAAGCCACGTAGGCGAAGAAGCAGCACACAAGGACCTGAAAGCAAACATAACGTTGTTATTCCAGTTAAAGCGAAGACAAATCTGTTTCTGAAAATCTTAATATCCAAGTCCCCTACCTTGGTGAACATGATGATTACTTTTCCTCTTGCCTGAGAGTGGAAACGATGGTGCAGTACAGGACAGTAAAGCCTTATATACCCGGTGCAAAAATAACTTAACTATAGACACGCCCTGTAAAGCCATCCAGTCAATAGCGTAAGTGAATCGACGAAGAAAAAATAAGCAGATTTCTGCGTTGATTAATTTACAGCGTGGTGAACTCGGAAGGACGGGAGAGAAAAGGAATGCGGTTAGAAAGGGCTAATTTTTTAATTTTTCTTTGTAGCTGTTCGTGTCAACGTACGATTTGAAATGCCGTTATGAAGTAGGATGCTTTTGCGCGTGAGAAAAAGACATGCTAAAATCAAAAGAAAGCTTGCATTTTCAATATTATGTTTGTCAGTCTATATTGTTCAGCTAGGACAGTAAAACCACGTTTAGGGTCGGAAAAATTCCCTACATTCAATCCAAATAAAAATGTCCCATGCTTACATTCATGCTAACATTCAGCGCACCACAATTTTAGCTTCTGTAGATATATTGATACATATATTATAGTCCGGATTTCATTTAGTGTTTTGTTCATTTCTTACAAGGTACGAAAAATACGATAACTAAGAAAGCGTAATATGCATTGTATTATGGTATTCGATTACCTTAATCAAGTTTTGAAGAATTAAAACAGAAGTCAATGGTGTACGACATCTGGTCATTTAAAATACTTAACGTAGCGACGTTTAGGGTCGGAAAAATTACCTACATTCAATACAAATAAAAAATGTTCAAGCTTGCAATTATGCTAACATTCAGCGCATCACAATTTCAGCTTCTGCGAAGATATTCGTATAAAAATATAGCCCGGCTTTTAATTAGTTTTTGTCCATTTCTTAAAAGGTGCAAATAATGCGATTACTAAGAAAGCGTAACATGCATTGCATTATGGTATTGGAATACCTTAATCAAATTTTGAAGAATTAAAAATGAAGTCGATGGTGTACGATATCTGCTTAATAATTTCAAATAGTTAACCTCATTTTTATTTCATTAGGTAATACCTTATACCTCTTACAAATGAAAAGAACGACTTAACACTTATTGCTTCAGACAGTACTTAATATTTTTCGCATATAACAAACAAGGCATTAGCCTGATTTCTAACTAGTGAGTTGTGACACATTTTAATGTACAGCCTTCAGATGTTTTGACAATATTGCTTGAACTCCGGCCGGCCGGTTGGTCAGCGCCTTATCTTGGCGTCAAACGTTAACAAACTGGTATCTGAACAAGCTAATTCTATGAAATATTTAGCCCAACAAGTTAAGGACTTGAAGGACAAGGGCGTAGACTTGGAAAATAGAAGTCGCCGACAAAATCTTGTTTTCTATGGTGTAGAGGACAACCACACAGAAACGTGGGATCAATCCGAAAAAATAATCGAGCGCATTTGTAAAACCAGCCTGGGTATCGAATTGACATCGGTACAAAGGGCGCATCAAATTGGTCGTTACAGTCACGAGAAAAAAAAGGCCGATTATTGTAAATTTTTCGTCTTACAAAGAAAAGCAGGACAATATGTCGAACGCCAAAAAGGTTAAGGGTACAACCTACAGCGTAGACCAGGACTACTCACCCGAAACTCGAGACATCCGCAGGCTACTATGGGAATTTGCAAAAATTAAAAAGGCAGATAGAGAAAATCAGGTAAAATTAAACTTTGACAAACTAATTGTTAATGGTAAGGTGTTCACTTCGGACAAAGAAAAAGGGGAAGTTGTTCGTGTCCCGAAACATTGACGCCCCACTAAAAAAAAGGAAACAGTTCGTCGTGATTTAGTTGCTATTCATGTAAATTGCAGAAGTGTAGTAAATAAAGTCAATGAATTTGCTGGATTAATCGCGTCCGTCAAGGATGATATTGTGTTTGGGACTGAATCTTGGCTGAATCCCTCTATCAGCGATAGTGAAGTATTTCCGAAGGAATTTATTGCTTATCGGAAGGATAGGCCCCGCCTCGGTGGAGGGGTCTTTTTGCTAATTCATTCTTGACTAACGTCATCTGTACTCGATCTTGGTCCCGACGCCGTCGAGTCAATCTGGTGCACAGTCACTTTAACTGATCATTTTTCATGTGTTGTTGGGGCGTTTTACCGACCACCAAACTCGGATTTCGGCACCTTGCAGCTGCTGTACAATATTGTCCTCGAGGCCTCTGGCCAAACTATTTTGCTAGCGGGGGATTTTAACTTGCCAGACCTAGACTGGCAAGACGGCACTTGTGTAAACAAGGTTAATAGCGGCATCAACCTTGAAATGAAAAGTATAGCAGACACTTTCGGATTGTTACAGTACGTGAAAGAGCCAACTCGGGATAATCGTATTTTGGACCTCTATTTTTTTGTAGCTTACCGAATCTCGTTAGTTCGGTAGACGTCATTCCGGGTATTAGTGATTATCTCGCGGTCGTTGCAAGCCTAAACACTAAAAATAATCGGTCGAAGTCGTGTGCATCAAGAAGAGTCTTTTTCTTTGAGAAAGGTGATTACTCTAGTATCTCCAGTGAACTTCTTGAACACTTACCTGTTTTTGAGTGTCTGTCTGAGGATTATGGTATCCACGCATTATTGTAGGTTTTTAAAAAGAAGTTACTTCAACTTAGGCATAAGTATATCCCAATCATAGATTCGGCAATGCTTAAAAAACGAAAAAAAAAACATCGGTGACTTCACGCGTCCTTGGAATAATTAAAAAAAAAACGTAGGCGAGCGTTTGTTAGATTAAAAAAAAAAAAGTAACAACCACTTGGAGAAACTTGCTTAAATAACTCGGGACTACAAGTTGAATATAAAAAGTGCCAAGGAAACTTGTTTTTGTAGACTAAATGATAGGATGAAAACGAATTCTATAATGTTTTGGCAATACTTAAAAGGATGCGGCACCAATTTTGCAGGAATAAACAAAATTACCTATAATCAGCAGGTAATTGTAGATGATGCAGAAAAAGCTTCGTGTCTAAATAATTACTTTCAATCTGTTTTCTCACCCAAATACGACTGTAATTGTTTTTCACCCGTGAGCACTGTCCCAATAAGCAGCCAGTGGAACTAAGCGTGAGTGGTATCGAAGTGCTACTAAAGAGTATCGACGAAACTAAGGTTAATGGCCCAGATGGCATATCTCCTCGCGTGCTTAAGCGCTGTGCTCATCCGATTTCACTCTATCTTTATTTAATTTATGCGAAGTCGCTATCTGTGGGTCTCTTGCCAAACGACTGGAAGACCGCTCACATAGTCCCTATTCACAAAGGTGGTTCTATGAAAGATGTCGAAAACTACAGGCCTATTTCATTAACCTCCATCTCATGCAAGGTCATAGAACATATTTTATACACTGAAATAATAAATCATATGACAAAAACAATCTATTATCTAAACAACAGCACGGTTTCCATAAAGGCTTATCTTGCACCACGCAACTTGTCGAATTTTATCATGACTTGTCATCTGATGTTAATGAGGGAGGCCAAAGAGATTGTATATTCCTAGATTTTCGCAAGGCTTTCGATGCTGTTTCGCATTCACTTCTGCTAAATAAACTTAAGATGTTAAATATAGATTTAACGGTATTAAGAGAGATTGAAAATTATTTGCTAGAGCGTTGTCAGTGTGTATTAGTGAATGGTAAAAGTTCGACATACGTTAATGTTACATTGGGAGTCCCACAGGGCTCTGTCTTAGGGCCGCTTTTGTTCCTAATATATATTAATGATATTTCCTTGGGTATTTCATCTTGTGTTCGGTTGTTTGCCGATGATTGCGTGTTGTACAGAAAATTTAGTAACAAAGATGATGCCACCCAGTTACAAATAGATTTATAATGCATTACTACGTGGTGCTCTACTTGGAAAATGGCTTTAAGTCCCAAAAAGTGTGTGCATTTATATTTTACTAAAAAGAAGAAAATTGAAACCCAATATTATATAAAAAAACAATATAGTAAACAAGGACTCCAAGTATAAATACTTAGGTGTCACGTTATGAACTGACTGTTCGTGGAATTCACATGTGGATGACGTGATTGTAAGGGCTGGCAGGGCGCTGAACTTTATTCAACGAAGCCTGAAATGTTCACTCCCTAACTTAAAGGAAACCGCGTATTTAACATGTGTTAGGCCAATTTTGGAATATGCCTGTGCCGTCTGGGACCCGGAACAAAAAACATTAATAGACAAACTTGAAAAAATACAAAATAGAGCTGCTAGGTTTGATCTGGGATGGTACGGGCGGAGAGACAGCTGTACTCAAATGAAGACTGAACTGAATTAGGAACCTCTCTCAGCCCGCCGTAAAAAAATTGCGTTTAAAGTTTCTGTTTTTGATATTTAAAAATAAAACTGGAATTAACAGTGCAACTTACTTAAAAGAACCATATTATATTTCTAAACGGAACGATCATGCTTTCAAAATTAGAGAGTTCCGCGCCAGGAGGAGCATGTAAGCCAACTCTTTTTTTGTTAAAAAGATACGAGAGTGGAATGAGCTGTCGGAGCTGCAAGTGTGCAGTGAAAGTGAAGATGTGTTTTTTTCAGCATTGTAACCCCCTTGCTGTAACGCCCTCGGGCACTGCGGGGTAATCTCTGAATAAATAATGAATAAAGAAAAGCAAGTCACCGAACAAGGTGCGTGCTTTCTGCCACACACGTGTACCCTTGCTGAGCTGCTCCTTAACGCCGGCATAATGAGCAGATCTGGCGGCCTACCGAAGTTCGCGTGGCATTGCTAAAATCTGAAGTATGTACATGTGTTCTACTTTATTGGCATTCTTAAAAATGATTTGGGATTATATTAAATTATGTCTCCATTCTTTTAAATGATCGGAATCACAACCGATCATAGAGGTTGCAACGATTGGTTAATAGCACGTTTATTGAAAAACCAAAAAAGTATGTGTTGAAAAACCTCCTTTGCCCACAAGGCCAGGAAGTTTCCCGAAAAACCTAAAGAAAACACATTTGTTTATGGATGTATTTTGG